CAAGGAGGTCTCCTGGCCCTCCTGCTGCACTTCCTTCTGGTTGGGATGCAACACTCCTGAGCTTGTAGCAGGTGATCCTTGAATATCAACCAACAGTCTTGAGCCCCCCTGCCCTCTAGGGCTATATCCCATGGAACCTTACTAAGCAGGTTCCTGAAGAGGCCAAAGTCTGCTCTTTTGAAGTCTAGGGCAGTGAGCTTGCTGCACGCTCTTCTCACTGTCCTAAGGATCTCAAATTCAACCATCTTGTGGTTGCTGCATCCAAGGCTGCCCTGCAGTGCCACATTTCCAACGAGCCCTTCCCTGTTGGTGAGCACAAGGTCAAGCATGGCACCTCTCCTTGTTGGTTCCTCTATTACTTGCAGAAGGAAGTTGTCTTCCACACAATTGAGGAACCTTCTGGATTGCTAGTGCCGGGCCATACCGTCATTCCAACAGATGTCAGGGTGGTTGAAGTCACTCATGAGAACAAGGGCATGTGAGCATGAGGCTTTTCCTATCTGCCTATAGTTTGCTTCATCCGCAGATTCCTCTTGATCAGGGGAGATTCCTCTTGATCTTGTACGTCCTACTATTACTGGAGCATTTTAAGACCTTATAGTCTAGAACAACTTTTGGTTGTTAAATTGCTGCATCTCTAACAGTGTTTTACAAGAAATTACAGGTGAATACTCCTTGATTATTTTTTTTAAGATTCTCCTTTCATTATATTTTCTTTCTTACATAAAATACTATTTTGATTATTTTCTTTTTTCTTCCGCAAAATAAAGATGCCATGAAGGCAGTTACAAGGCAGATTCCTTCATGAAGCCAGAAGAGGTGTTTATTGAGGAGGGCTGGAAGGACTTGGGTTCTGTGTATAGGATATCACTCCGTGCATATTTGTAGAATAGTTTAGGTCTTAAGGGGATGAGGGAAGTCTCTTGCTGATGATGAAACTGAACAGTCAGTAAAGAGACCCAAGTGTAGATAGGTGTATCTCAGTAAAGTTTATTTCACATGCATTGCATTCCTGAATCAGAGCTGGTGCTTCTTTGTTTCAACATGATAATGTGAGTTTGGCTTTTTTATGTGTTTCATTTAGACTCTAAAGAAATACTATGTTTGTATGTTGATAGTTTATAGAAGTGTTTATGTCCTTCTATGTACTTCACGCTGTGGAATTTTGGCTTTACTGGAGATTTGTCATATTTGCTACATATAGTTTATGATTCATTCATTGTGGGTGGAGCACAGTGTACACAGATGTTCACCATGTAGCTCAGATAGGTAATCTTATACTGTAGATTTCGTACTGTAAAGGAAAATCTTTAATCTCTTGTTTTCTTGAATTGGATAAAATAATTCAATGAAGTTTTTATTAAGTAGTCAGATGTTTGGATCGGAAAGCTTTAGCAAGTAGCTGTCAGTGTCCTGAAAGGATGTTGTAAACAAAGGGTGAAAAAACACCCTGAAAACAGTCAGCAGTTGTTCTAAATGAATCTTGTGTTATTAGTCACACTGGAAACTTGTTTGCAGTACTCAGTTAGGAACACTTTTATATTTTGCCTCCGTCCAGGCATTATCTCATGCTTATTCACGTGGTTATACATTTACTTTCCAAGCAAAAAAATCATGTTCAATCATTGAGCTGTTAACGTCAGAGTACAGCATATTCAGGGGAAGTCAGGCTTAAATTACTGTAAAATGTTGGCATGTTAGTTCCAAGGGTGTATTCAAGAAGCACTTTATAGTTTCCATTACTTCCCAAACCTAAAGGTCACTGTTTGAAGGGAAGTAGCTCCCAAGGCAAGTTGTCTTCATATCTGACAGTTATTACTCCAGACACTGCAGTTATGTTTTATTAAAGTTTTTAAAGAAAGCTGCAGTCTGGGTTTCACATGTAGGAATATGATCAGTTGACAGGTAGTTTTAAAATGCTATCATTATGCAGCAGCTAACATAATGTGCTGGTGTTGTTTTAATATTGGAAGTACTAATCATTCATATTTTGTTACCTTGAAACTTTCAGTAATATCACAAGCACTCCTTCAAGTCTTGCTTTTATTTTGGAGATTTTTCTAGAGGCACATTTATCTGGATCTACTGCTCATAACATTTGTAGAGAGTTTTCCGGAGCTAATCAAAAGCATTGTGTGGGGTTTTTTTCAGTGTTGCTGTTCATGCTGTGCATACTTTATGATCAACCATTCAGAAAAAGATCCTCACAGTCCTCCTTCAAAGATTTCCCTTGAATGAGCTTTGTTCTGGATTAGTTCAGTTGAAAACTTGAACATAAATGCAGATTAATGCCAGCAGATTAAATTAAAAATCCTTGGCAGGCATCCTTCCATATATTTGGGAGACTCAAGCCTTACACAAAAGTGAGTTGCTATGTCATAAGTTTGTGCGTCTGTTGATTTATAGTAATGGCCCATGCTCTGTCCTTAGCCTGCAGAAAATACATTCTAATTTAAGCTATCTTATTAGGCTTTCCCTCTGAAATCTAAACTAACAGAGTTGTGAACTGTTTGTGTGTTTAAACTCCGATACCTGAATCCAGATGTTGTATCTAGAGTCTATTGTATTACTACCACACCATAAATTACATGAAAACCAAGGAAGAAAACAAGTTTAGCTCTCCAAGTAAAAACTCATTTTCTAATTAATTTAGGGCAATTTTAAACTAATAAAATGTGCAAGTGTTTTACTCTGCTTTATAAGGAAACAAAGCTTATGCAATCATGCTGTGTGCCTCTGCTGACTGCCAGTCTCTTACCTCCTCCCTGTTTCCCCAATAAGTTTTGAAACTACTGGACAATTTCAAATAGATTTGACAGGAGTAAAGGTCTCAAAGATAGCAGGTTCCTGCTAGCTCCATGGAAATAGGTGGCTGGGTGGAGAAGAGAGACCCTATTCATATGTCTGCTTTGGAAGAAAATGTGGAATGAGATCAACTCTGTTACTAGACACAAGCAAATCCTCATGGGAGTGAGAAGTTATGAATGCATTAAATAAGGGAAACGCTTTGACTGGTTTCTCACCTTCTTAAGCATTAGGGAATCCAGCACAAGAATCATAACCATAGGAAAGCAGACTTCGGTAGTTCCATTGCTCACAGACCTGCTTGCTACTCAGTGATGCAGGAAAGTATCTGATTATTCCTGGAGCCATTGAATTAATGAAGGGAAAGATGCAAACAAACAAACAAGCAAACAAAACAAAAAAAAAAGGAAAAGATCTTTTAGGGATGTCCTGCTTCAGTTTTCTTTATGAATTCACTTCAGAGTCAAACTGCTAGCAGAGAACTGAATGGACAGTATTGCCTGAAGTATAGAAGGGGATGATAAAAGAGAAGACACATAAAAGAAGATAAAGCACATAGCTGTATGCATAGAATGCAAGTCTGCCAGTTTTTATAGGATGAAGTAGTAATTTAATCCCAAATTAAAGTGCTCAAATTCTTTGTCTTTACATAATTTTGTCTCTGTTATCACTGCTTGTGTGTAGTTACCCATTCCATATTTATTATTGTAACTAGTAGCTAGTGCTCCTGATTTTTTTGGACCTTTGCCTTTGGCCTTTTTACTCCAGTTGCCTAGATTCTTCCAGTCAAGTGGCATGTTGTTTCTGATCACCATTGGGAAAGAATTGGAAGAAATAGCTAATGTTACAGGTGCTGAGAATTACCACTGTAGTGCATTTTAGTATTCAGTTTATTTCTAATTTTAAGTGATTCAGTTGCATAGTGGTCATTAAAATTGAAGGGGAAATTAATAGCAGTTTTCTGTAGCTTAGCACCTAGAGAGACAAACATTACTTTAGTTCATATGTTCTGTAGCATTAATCAGTCCATGCCTTATTTGAAAAGTATCTAATTTTTTTACAAAGATATCACTTGATTCTTGATATATATGGGTTTCAGGTTCTAGGGGGAAGTAGTCTTATGAGCAACAGTCTTTAGAGTAAGCTCTGGAAAATTATTACAGAGCACTTTAAGGGAGTGCATCATAGCCTGAATAGATCTTGACCAGGCCATGTCACAGCTGTCAAAATTCAGTAGCTAAAACACCGTTTCAGTACGGGTGGGATTAAGCTTCACGTAAGTAGCTGATTGTAGAGGTACGTGAATGGGTTGTTTCTGAGGAATGTAAAGATTAATCAAGGAAGTTTTCCAGAGGCTTTAAATAAAGGGATATAATGCCATTCATGCAGTTTCTTGCTCATTAGGTTTCATTAGCACCCGTACAACTACTCTTACCTGTCTACAAAGGGGGTATTTAAGGCACATATGATGTGCTTACTGTTGTCACTTAATGTTTTTTATTCCAAAATTATCTGACCAACTTGGCTTCCTGAAATATAGGTAATCCCTTTATCCCCTTGATTCTTGCAGGGTAATGCAGACAAGATGAAATAAACAAATTTAATGTGCAAATAGACTGAATACTGATCTACAAATGTCACATGAGTTCTATGTCTATTTTCTGTGTATTTGCATGGTCTATTTAGTCATGGTATATATTCAAAATTGCACGTATATACATGGCATATATTAAAAATTATACAATATGGACATTGTACTTGTCCACAGACAAGTAATTCAAATTGAAGTTTGGAGGAAGCTTGTATGCTATGAGCAATATAGAACGTAACATATGTGTAGCCAAAGCTACAACATTTTGCTTCAGTTCAAGAGAACATGTGCAAAGGATAATAATGATGTATTAATTATTGAGACTGAACACTAGAGAGGGAGAAGAGTGCTGTAAGCTATGGAACAGTGTCCAAAAGCAAATGGATGCAAATTAGAAAAAAATGTCCCAAACAGCTTTCCAGCTAGACTAGTGACATTAAGAAGCTCTTTTAAGAACTTAAATTCCTTTATGAAAGGATTTATGTGACATTGTTTCCTGTGATTGCAAAGAGTTGGCCTTAATGAGGTCTCAGGAAAATGATGTTCAGATTTTGGTACAATATCAAGTCTTCAAAGAAGTCCTCCTCCTCTTTCCCCTGAACAGAGCAGTGGGATTTTATGTTGAGAGCTTCTTTCTGGAATGATCTCAAATATGGATAGTCAAAATGCAGTGCTGCCAATTTCCAGGGAAATCCAAGTAAGAACAAGATATTCCAGCTGCCAAACAGAGCTGGCTTTTCATGTTACTGTTTTCTCTGCCACAACAACCCATCCATTGGACCAGATGTGCTGCATCCGAGGGTGCCTAGAGAGCTGCCTTTTATGAAAGTGCTCCCTATAGAATTCAAAATCCTACAGACTGGGAGAGAGATCCCAAACAGCTGGAGAATGTCAAACCTTCCACCAGCCTTCAGAAAATAATGGATTGATGCTCCAAAAACTACAGGTCAGTCATGCTGACTTTGATTTTTGGGAAGTTTATGGAGCAACTCCTCTCAGGGCATGCTTCTTTGCACATCAAAGAGGAGGTGGTAGCTGGGAGCTGCTGGCGTGGATTTACCAAATGTAAATCATGCCAGACCATGCAGACTGTGTCTGCCTCTACCATGCCTCTTGTGATAAAACAGCTGGGTATGTGCTTGAAGGAAGAGTGAAGATGTTGTTTGTCTGTACTGTGGCAAGGCTTTCATCACTGTTTCCTACAATATTACATCTAGGTTGGATAGGTAGAGAACAAGATAGGTAGAAAACTGTTTGGATCGTATCTTCTCCCAAGTAACAAGTGATAGGAAACGCCTCAAGGTGTGCCAGGGGAGCTTTAGACTGGACCTGAAAGGATTGTCAGGCATTGAAACAGGCTGCACAGGGCAGTGGTGGGATCACCATCCTTGGAGGTATTTAGAAGGTGTAGAGATGAAGCCGTTAATGACATAGTTTAGTAGTGGCTTTGGACTTGCTGATCTTAATGGTCTTTTCCAACCCAGTTGCTTTTATGACTCTGTGACTTGGAGGACAGTGGTTAATGGGTCGTATGGTCCTGGAGACTGCTAACAAGTGAAGAAAATCCCTCCTGGGACCTGTCCTGTTTCACATATATTGAACAGTAACTTGGAGGAGGTGATGGAGTGCACATCCGTTTTGTTTCCAGTTGACACCAAACTGAAGTGACCAGTGAATGCCCTCAAGGGCAGGGTTGCCATGCAGAGAGGCCAGACTGGGGGAATGGTGTGAAAGTGATGGGGAAAAAACAAAGCTCTGCCCAGGGTCAGGAGAGCACCTGGAAAGGGATGGGCTGGGGAGCAGCTCTGTGGCTAAGTCCCTGGGTCCTCAATGTTTAGAGGTTTCTAAGACCCAACTGGATCTGAGCAACCTGGTCTGACTTCTGCGCTGGCCCTGCTTTGGGAAGGAGGTTGAATTGGAGGTCCCTCCCAATAAATGACTCCATGAAAAGCTTTCAGGATAGAAATCTGCTTCCAGTCTGGCCCACACTGCAGTGTACAGCTTGATGAGGGACGGACTGGATGGAACAAATTGTAAATTACAGTCTTTTTCAGCCTTATTTCTACCTCTTTCCCCGGGATCGAGATATTCATCAAAATGCGAACCAAGGGCCTTCTTGGACAGTGTGCCTTGGTCCTTCTGAATCTATTAGCATAAAGCAGCTTCTGCTACAAACCTGATAGAGCAGTATTCTAGGGTCTACTGTTGTTGCCTCTGCGCCAGTAAATTAAAATTTCTTAGAATATTCCCAGATGCAGAGGCCAAATGGTGGGAAAAATTCTTATGTCCATGCTACTATATTTTCTCAGCCTCCAAGAGAGGGTGGCTGCATACAAACTGCCTCTTGGAAGTGGTCCATGGGATGCTTCAACTGCTGCCATGTGCCTTGCAGAGTGTTTGGCGAGGTGATTGCTGGCATGGGCCACAGACACACTGTGACCTCTCTATTGTATAGACATTGATAATAAGAATATATTGTAGTACCTGGTGATGATCCAAATTTCCACTTGGTTTGCTGTACAGATATAGGCTTCTTGCACTGCAATCATTAAGGGGGCCACACTGCCATGAATGTGTGGGTTTGAGGGTGTGAGAAACAGAGAAGCACTCTTCAAAGTACTTGAGAACCCCTGCCATACAAAATAGTGAAACCACATGGAATTTCATCAGTCAGTGTGGAGCTAATATGGTCGCAATTTATGTGGAAGGTTTCTGCAGCATGTAGTAAAAACCTGAGAAAAAATAGCAGTCACTAATGTCAGCTGTTTTGTTCTATAATAGCAGTAATGCCTTCATCAAGGAGGAAGATACTTTTTCTTTCAGGATGAAGTAATGTTTCTGTCATAAATAATATTTCAGGGGGGAAAGGCAAGAGTGGAGAAAGGCAGGATTTTTATCTTAAACTTGATTTTTATAACTGGTGCTCATATTTTTATACTGATTGATGTAACCGGCAAGATTTCTTGGCTTGCACGGTACTTTTTAATTTTTCTTAGCTTTCTAGAGCTTGCTGTTACAAAAGCAACTTCTGCTTTCACATTGTCATCACTGTATTGTGCAAGTCCAGTGTACTCATTTTATTACCACACCCGAGGATGTCATGGTTACTGTTGAACAGTTTCCCTGGAGATAATAGTGGCACAGCTTTAAAAAATCAAGACCACGTATTGATTGACTTAAGAAATAAAAATGGTTTAATGCTTTCCAGATTCAAGCTTGTAACAATACTTTCTTTGTTCAAGTGTCAGCATTGCTCACTTGTAGGTCATATTCTTTTAACCCTGCACATGAATTTTCATTAACATTTGCCTCTTCTAAATTCGTAGATATTTGCATAGTGAATACTTATTTTTAACAAAGTGTTAATTCTGACTGAGTTTAGAGTCTGTGCAGCAGCAGAAGTAGCTGATATTTAACTATCAATCAGCAAGGCTGATTCTAAAAATCACAGCCTGTCTAGCAAGAGTTCCAGCTCTCAACTGAGAAAGTTGATGTATCCTACACTGCCTATTGTAATCCAAGCATGTAAGGGATGTCTTTTTTTTTGTGTTAATGTAGCATTCAGTGCTGTCCTGTATATTGTAGCTAATCTCTTTCTCTATAGTAAAGAATTTTCTCTCAGTACTACTCGCAAGCAAGGTCATCAGTAGGTGACTTCAGGATAGTTTAGCCCATAACTATTAATATCTTCTAGCAATATTTTCTAAGTGTAAATTTGTGCAAGTGTTGAAAAATAAATCAGCAAGGCGTTTGTTTTGGTTTAGCTCTTGAGATTAATAAGATTTTTTTTAAGTATTGAAAACATATAGTTTCTTACTGTAGGGGTTTTATTAATAAAAACACCCTGATTGCTCTTCCATCCTCTCTAATTCCCAAAGACCCTGTTGAACTGGCATTAATAGGCATCATGGAAAGACCAAGTTCTAGTAAGACCAAGCTCTGTTGCAGAAATACTTTTCCCAGTGTAGTTCTCTTCTAGCGTAGGGAAGGGGTTGAGAGATGCTCAGGACATGGCAATGACAAAAGGATCTGTTGTTACATGAGTCTGCAGGGCCTTCCTGTTTCCAATGCAGGGGTCACATCTGCTGTTAGAAACTGCAGGTCTTTATAAAGACAGGGACAACACAGCTGCTCCATGCTGGTGGGCTCCTGTGGAATTTCCTCCTCCCCTCCACCTCAAATTCTTCATTAATATAACCCTGGTGAAAGGACATTTGCTTAGACAATACGTTTCAGGAGTGAGCATCTGTCTGCAAGGATGCAGATGTTTCTGTCCTGTGCTAACCCTGCTGATTGCTAATACAGTTTGAAATACTGTGATTAGAAGCAGAGCACAAGGATCTCTGCAACCTGTTCCAAAGGTAGAGGAAAAGTGAAAGATGAGCAAGGAGAGCTAGAGATGATTCTGTTACAGGCTGTAAGTTAGCCTGTACAACTAAAACTCC